TTTTGTAGAGAAAAACAGAAGCATGGCGGTAGTGCGATTTTTGTTAAATCGGGCGTTCCTGTCAGGAATTTACCTTTATTTCAAATGCGATCAATTACAAATACTGTTGAATGTTGCGCCATAGAACTTTTGCAATATAGTCTAGTAGTAGTAGTTCTATACAGACCGCCTAAAGGCGAATTTATTAGTTTTCTTAATTTTTTATACGAGGTTTTAGGTACTGTTTCAATCAAAAAGAATATAATCCTAGCAGGCGATTTCAATGTAGACCTTTTTGAAAACTCCAGTCAGAAAAATGATCTTCTAAGCCTGCTTAATACCTTCAACATTATACCTACAATTTTTGACGGTACTAGGTGTATGCAATATAGTGAGACTTGCGTCGATAATATTTATGTTAGGATCTCCTTGGGTAACGGTAAAACTTATAATTCATATGTACGAGATTGGTGTGTATCAGATCATAAAGCACAGCAAATTGATTTGGAGTTCACTGATTCAAAAGAGGTGACCTTCACTTATAAACTGGTTAGAAATTTTTCTAAGAACAATATTCAAACATTTCAAGAACGCCTTAAAGCAGAAGAATGGTTACCAATTTTAACAGAACTAAATGCTGAAAACTCTTTTAACAAATTCATGTCATTACTTGATAAACACTTTGAAATAGCTTTTCCTTATAAACGGATTAGTAAAAAACCATATCAACCAAACAATAAATGGTTAAGTTCTGAAATTCTTGAATTTAAACGTAGAGTATCACTTCTTGCTGATTTAAGTAGGCAGTATCCAGTCTTTAAGGACAGCTACAAAAAAATCAACCAAGAGTACCAGGATCTTATCACAAAAAGTAAACAGACATATAACGAATATCGAGTAAACAACAGCTCTAATAAAAATAAAATAATGTGGTCCCTGGTTAAGGAATATACTGAAGACAAAAACGAAAGCTCTAAAATTGAAATCTATGAAAATGGCATCAGACTTAGTGATAAAGAATCTGCTAATCGTTTCAATAAATATTTTTCACAAATTGCAAATCAAACAGTTAAATCACTAAATAATCATATAAATATGAGATTTGACCCTGCTATAAATATTGAGTCAGTAAGAGATTCTGTTTATTTTTTGCCTGTGTCACCACCAGAAATTATAAGTTTAATTTCTAAACTAAAAAATAGTAATGCATGTGGTGAAGACAGCATCTCTAACAATCTATTGAAAAAGGTGGCATGTCTAATAGCGGAACCACTTTGTCACGTCATTAATTTATCTTTGGAACAGGGACACTTTCCGACAGGTCTCAAAAAAGCTTTGGTAAAACCTCTATTTAAAAAAGGTGATTGTAAATCGGTTGAAAACTATAGACCTATCAGTCTATTATCAAGTATCTCAAAAATATTTGAAAATATAGTAAATAAATATTTAATTGATTTTTTAATGAAACATAAAATATTAGACAAAGCACAGCACGGCTTCACCAAAGGTCGTGGTTTGGATAGTGCCCTCGCTGATTATCTAGCCAACGTTTATTGTCATGTTGATAAAAAAATAACAACTTTAGGACTTTTTATTGATTTTACCAAGGCCTTTGATTGCGTCCACCACTCAATTTTATTACAAAAATTACAACGTTATGGTATTAGAGGTAAAGCATATGAGTGGGTTGCATATTACCTTAACAACAGAACACAAAAAGTAATAGTAAATGGCACATCTTCTGAAGCTACATCCATTGATATCGGGGTTCCGCAAGGGTCCATTTTGGGCCCGACTTTATTTATCATCTATGTGAATGATTTGCCATCTTACTTAAGAAAAAAATGTAACGTAATGCAAATGTCTTACGCAGATGACACTAACTTTGTACTTACAGGTGCTGACGCTGAAGAAAAAGTAAAGATAATTTATTCAAATTTGTGTGAGTGGGTTGATACTAATAAGTTATGTATAAATGAAGACAAAACATCGCTTATCACCTTTTTCAATGGAAAATCCAACTTTAACGATGATGTATTGCTCAATAATCAAAATATGAAGCTCTCACAGACTGTAAAATTACTAGGATTGACACTAGACAGTCAAATGACGTGGACGTATTATTTAGAAAATCTATGCAAAAGATTAGCAACTGTTTGTTATGCTTTGCGTAACCTAGTGCGACAATGCAATTTGAATACGGTTATGATATTCTATTTCGGGTGCTTTCAAAGTATTTTGCAATACGGAATCGTGCACTGGGGTCTTTCTTCTAAAGCCCAAAGGGCCTTTGTTATTCAAAAATGGGCCATTAGAATTATTACTGGTTTGAAAAGAAGGGAGTCTTGCAGGAAAGCCTTCAAAGAACTTAGGATTTTAACATTACCAAGTCTGTATATTTATAATGTTGTTTGCTATGCTTTCCAAAACGTACAAGTTTTACAAGGTAGTAGAAACTCATACACCTATAATACTCGACACAAGGACCACTTGCTACCTAGACAACATAATACGACATATTTCCAGAAAGGTCTTCAATATAATTCTTGTAGAATGTTTAATAAATTACCGACTGATATAAAAGAGGTAAATAATATTTTAAAGTTTAAAGCTAAAGTTAAATCGTACCTGCTGGGATTAAATTGTTATTGTATAAGCGATTTTCTTGCTGCTTAGTAAAGCTTTCTTGTTCATTTGTGTTTGTTGTTACTATTTCTGTTTGATACAATAGTATTGTTACTGTTAATGTCTAAATTTCTTGTTTATTGACGTAACTGTAAGTCATTTACATAACAATGTACATGATTTATTAAGTTGTAAATAAATATTATTATTATTATTATTATTATTATTATGCTATTGAAATTTTATAAAATAACATACTTTTGTAATTGAGGTTTATGAATCCGCCTTGATTCTTTACTCTAGGCATTCAGATTTTTGCTAAAAATCTAAATTCCACCAGCACATTTTATACCAGTTTAGGCCGTGTTGTGACTGGTACTGTATATACATATTAGTTAATGTTAGTATTGCACGTGTACTGCGTGTGTCGGACTTGGCATACGTGTCCTTGCTGAAATGTTCGGAACATTTTCCATGGCGAAAATTCACTAGAAATAAGCACAGCCTTGCCCTTTATCATTTCATTCAATAATATCATTAATATTTTTGGAGCAATTGTTTGACCGATCACCCGATTTCTCCGTACTCCGTGCCAGACCAAATAATAAATATAAAGTCAACAGAGTGAGAAAATATTAATGAATTCAGACAAATAAACTCTACAAGAATCTAAAAAATGCAAATATTAATACTTTTACTTCCCAACCGTAAACTACCTTATGTATAGAAGTTTTTCAAAGAAGTGAGATATGTTCGAGAAGTGCTGCCGAAATATTGAATTTGTTGGACTCTACTTCAGAGGAAAACGAAGTTCTGTCTGTCTGTAATAACATGAGACCATTTTTGTTTAAGTAATCTGAAGTGCTCTTTACTCTCTCGCTTCGCTCGGGCATAAATTTCATACTCGGCGTTAAAATAATCATTTTAGTCTCATGCAGTAATAGTAAACATTGCCACGCTCAAGATTATATTTCATATTTACTGGATGTATTCATTTTTATTTTGCCGTTTCCACAATATTGCGATGTTTAATATTATCTTCTTCTATTTATTTATTAAAGATTATTATTATTGGAGATACTCCATGTACAAGGGAATTCTCTTCATAAACTCCGACTGTCTCTTGAACTGTTCGACTCGGATGCATGAATAATCAATGAGGAGATGAGCGGGTGTTGGAAAAAATCCCATTTTATGTGTAGCGTCAACATGCACAGACTTGGTTACATACCCTCTCAACCATAAAAACTCTTTGTACACCTTTCTGATTCGTAAAATAGAGCCCAATAAAATAGGTTGTTAAGACCCGTAACGAAACTTATTGATGACAACGATTTTTATCGGGGTTACTCCCTATGTGGCTACTGACCGGATTTTTAACACTAACAGATAGAGAACGCGTACTCAACTTCGGTCATTAAAGGTCACAATATTTTTATTTCCTGTTGCAAAATCTGCAACGATTCGTGAAAAATTACTTATTAGTCATTTCCGTAGGGATTTCCTCATAGTTGAGACGCATTTAGTGTGCTTTGTTATAAAAATGGTAGGGAAGTACAAAAATGTTGTTTGTGTAATTAGGTGATTATAAAATGCTGCCAGGAATGCTATTGTCCTCTTATTTACATTCTTAAACTACATGTACACATTAATTGCTAAATCGAAAGGATGTGTGTGGAGACATGTGATTGTGAGAAAAACGCTGTCTTTATTAAGAATTATGATTAGTCTCAGGGAAAACTTTAACATGACTTTTGTGAAAACCGTCATTCGTGCTAAAGGCGGGATTTACTTATCCTTTTTAATCATGATCATGGATTCCCTTTAATTTCTGAAATAGCAGTGACATTTACTTGAACTTATAACCTGTAGCCCCAAGTTCGAATCAAATACGAATGCCATCCACTCTCCACTTTACGTAATCCTTGTTTTCTTTAGGCGCCTGAAACGTTGTCCTTGACTTTTTAATAATCTTTATTTTGGTATTGATTTAGTTTTTAATAATAGTAAACGATATTAAATGGTAACGGGGCTAAATGAAGGAGAGACGATTTAAAACTTTTGCAGGATAGTAGAACTGCGTTAAACGTATTAGTGTTGCGTGGTGTTTTAAAACAATTATTACAATCCACTAAAAAAGCGAAAAAAATTCGAATGTAGGTGCCTGAGGTCAGAGACTTTATTCGGTCGGCTTTCCCTGATGTCTTATTAGCATTATTTTTTACGAATTAATTTTTGCTTCTATTCCATTGACCAGACCACACACCGTTCTAATAATACACATGTACATACCATCTTTTGAACTGTAGCTTCTCAATATGCTCCTATTGTGCTTTAATTGATGCCTACCTGACATCATTTCTTTATGATCTGATATTAACAAAATAAAAAGACAGTATAGAGTATGTATTTATTTCCAACGAAAATTTTGACAGTTTTTATTTTTCGCTCTCTTCGTGGTTCGCCGGGTTTTGTTCCTCGTTGAATGGATCTCCCAGAATCTGAAACAAAGATTTCTTTTATTAAGGTTCGTTTATTTCAAATAAATTAAGGGTGTGTGTTTATGTTTTTTCTAATACACATTATTCAAGAAAAGTTACTTTGATGTAGCTTCGAAATTTTTAGTGTAAATGGTCTTAAAGTCATTAATGTCCCCATGGGCCAAAAAAATCAGAAAGGATTTCAGCCTCGAAAGTACTGACTGAGAATTTTTTCTCATATGTCGTAATTTAAAAATTTTTTTTGGAAGTAACAAAATTTGCTTAGTGTTTTTTATCACTTTACGATCATTTTAAAAATACGTACTAGGTAGTTTTCAAAATAATCATTTCTATAGTTGCTAACAGATAGATAGGCAGATGACAGACAGACAGATAGACAGACAGATAGAGAGACGGAAATGGAATCATTAAAATGATTGTATTATAATACTTTAGCTTACGTTCAGAAGTAAAAAATGAATAATTTTAACAACATTGTGGGTAACGACCCTTGAAATGACAAATGTTGAAAATATTTAATACAAATCTTATCAAATCAGTTATGCCATTGTATTATGAGTATCATAAAAAGTTTAAGTGCAAATTTTATATCTTTCAGTGCGTATGGCTATTAAATTACACTAGAAACTGCTAAGAATTTAAATTTAATTTGAGAGCGGTTTTTAGGAAAAGAAAACAATAAAAGTTCATTTTATAAAGAGATTCGTTTCCATTTTTTACTTCCTGAGCGTTAGCTAAGGAAGTATTGTAATCGAGTCCCTATATTTTTTTGTATATTATGTATTGATAAATTCAAAAAATTTTTATCCTATTTTAAAGAACTTGGTGTGAATAAAGTTCGCAAGTAAAAAGGTGATGTAAGTATACTCAAAAAGTTATTTTTTAATTCACTACACTTGTATTGGATTTTTTCTATTTATTCTGTGAAATTAAAGGAGGTACATACAATAATTGTGTAAATAGACGCTAAATGAAAGTCATGCCAGGGAAGTCCTTTTAAAATTTTGGTTTTTGTAATGTCAAAACTTTACATTCGTATTTCCAAAAAAAAAACATTGGTCGCAGGTTATTTTGCAGAACTTCCTTTGCCCCTGAACTACAGTAAAACATAATGTATGTAACGTTAAAATAAACGTAAAGAAGCGTGCTGCGCGTAGGTTTCAAATGAGTTTACCTTTAACAAAATTTTTGGAAAGACTCATATATCACTTTGGATAGGTGCAGTGTAATGATAACAGTATTCTATTGTCAAATTTTCGGGAAAATGGAGTGAGCCGTTCCCGATTTAATCAATAAAATAAGTATATTGATTCATTCATAAATTTTTATGAGTCACCCTGTATAAGAAATTTAAAAACTTTTATTGCACTGTTAAATCACAAGTATGTACTCATCATATTTTGCACATTTTGGATAGGATTTATTCGGCAAAAAATTTTGAGAGCACGTCATCAACTATTATTCGAGAGGATAAACAGATATATTTTGACTAAAAATTTGCCATGGTTACGATAAGTTTAAAACGCAAGATTTCAAAGCATTCGATTGTGCAGTTCCTGATTTAATCAATAAAATAAATTGACTCTTTGATTAATTTTTTAAGTAATTCTGTATAAGTAATTCTAAAAATTATGAGTGCGTTGATAAACACAAGTACAATATTTTGCATATTTCAGGGGGATTAGATTTTTGAGACGACGTCATCAATTTTTTGGAAAGGGATAAACGAATACATTTTGCTTAACGATTTACGGTGATTATGATTGCAGTTTCAAAGTTAAATTACAAAATATTGTTATACTATTTTGATTGTTTTTCCAAAAATCTGGATGTCTAGAGTGAAAACTCAACACGGATTCACACGGGCAAGTGCAGGAGTATCTTATTTTATAAAATTTTAAAAATCTTACTATTATAAATTTTGAAGATGACGTCATCCCATGGCTGTTGGGGATGACTAGCCAAATTTTAGTTAGCGTTTAACCATCTCCACAGTATATTCCTAATATACATACAAAATTTGACAACAAACGGTCCGGTAATTTCGAAGTTTACGTGTCTAATAAAAATGGAAACAGACGCCAGACAGACAGACAGACAGACATGGAAATGGAAGACCACTTTTTTCCTAGTTTAGAAGTCATAACACATTGAGAAAATATGAAAGTGGCAATTCGCCCGATGAACTCGATTACTATACTTTCTTACTTTTACGCTTGGGAAGTAAAAAATAAAAACAAAATAAAATAAAAGTACAGGAGCATCTATGTATTAAAAAATAAATAAAATTTTGTCAACCCTGCTACTATGCCGTCCAACGTCTTTTGATCACGTTATCAAATTTTGGTGGATACAAAAATAACCAAGGAAGAATTCACTGCAGTACGTTAACTGTTCTAGATCTGTTTAATGTTATATGTAATATGCACTGTTTAAAGTATAGTTAGTGTAACAATTTGTACCTTCCAAGCGTGAACCAGGGTCCTTCCGACAAACGTCTGTTTTCATGTTTTTTTGAAGTTTCATGATTCCTAAAGTATAAAAAATAAATCTCTCGTTTCCGTTTATCTGTTATGTTGTTTGTAGTCTGTTGACGATTTTATTAGGCAGATAATCTCCCAGACTACTATACTAATTGTTATGAAATTTTACATGATCATTTCCTGTGGTTTGTGAATCTGCCTTGATTTTTTACCTTGCACATCTATATTTTTGAAAAAAAAATTACATTGCACACGTTTTAAGGTTATGATGGTTTAATAAGATTTTAATCACAATTTGTCTATTTCTACTTGTGGTTTATCAATGTATTAAAAATTTTTAGAATTACATATACATGCTGATTCAAAAAATTAATGAATGGGTCAATTTATTTCATTAATTAAATCAAGAACGCCTCACCGCTTTTTCCAGAAAATTGGGAAGTTCAGTACTCTTACTATGTACGTATTACACTGTATCCGTCCCAATTGATGAGGAGTGTTCAATTCAAAAAGCCATCAACTTGGCGTTGCTCTTTGGATAAGAGAAAACCTAGCGAAAAGTCATGGGTTTTATTAAGCTATATTGTTGCATTACAGTAATTGATATTTCCACGTTGTCAGCTTCATCAGTTGAATTTTACGTTTACTGTAGACATACTTACCAATGTTTACAAAAAATCAAGCCCAATTTGATGGCTTTTTCAATTTAACATCCGATAAATCTAAAAAATTCATCATCCCAAAATTTTGTTATAAAAACTCACCTGAAATAGAGGCATAGCATGCTCTTTTACTTGTAATTTAAAATGCTAACTTATAAGGGTTAGCATAAAAAAATGGTCGAAGGACATTTCGACAGAACTTTTCTCACCTTTGAAATATTGTTCAACGTATCGTGCTTCTTCGAAAAAGTATACAGTTTGATTTTGTGACATTTTGTTGCTGTGGGTAATTAGACAATTATTGATGATGATTATCTGTCCAATAAAACTCGACGCAGACGACAGACCGACGGAAACGGTGGAGCACATTTTTCGTACTCTAGGGGTCATGAAACCTCGAGAAAATATGAATCGCTTGATGGATCCTGTTATAAAAATATGAACAAAGACAATCATGGATTTTTGAAAATTTGTCTTTGATACAGAATTTTTATCTTGTCAGATTATCATCAGTCTGAGTCAAAGTTGAGTTGAGTTTTTTAATTAAACCTGAATAAAATTAGTTCCTCGGTTTAGTCTACAGTTTGAACTCACTTTTACAGTCACATATTTTTTACAAACGAAAATTTATATTGATCAAATAAATAGCCTAGGTCATAAAGTTAATTTTGGTTCCACTATGCATACAATTTTAATGATATTGTTTTCGTCATTGTCGACATTTGTGTTCTAAAAATATTTCAATTTTTTTCTACGATAACGTAGGTTTAACGTTTGTGATAACATTTCACAAGTGTACCAAATACCCTTCCAGTTACGAATAAACGCTTTTTACGTAAGTATAAGATGATGACGTTAAAGTTACAGTTACAGGCAATCAAGCACGTGCTATGCACAGTAATTACTGATTATTCAGTGTGACAGATAAATTTGAAAAAAAACCTCACGGTGGTGAGTTTTGGCAAAATCTTGGTACTTATTTGCATAGCAGGAAAAGGATAAAGGATAAAATTAATTTAATTGTGTTCTAATCTCTATGTACCTAAATCCGCGGTCAGTCTGTATGTACTACGTGTGCGCCCGTATGTGTATATAAACATATTTACGGCTACAGAAGTTTTTTCTTGGAAACGACCTGTAGCAGTAACCTTCTAATATGAATGCTTAGACAAACACTTTTAGCGGTTTAGGAGCAGTACAGTGGACAGCCGGTGTTGTGTACTTAGCCACCATCACTGTTTGCTCTCGACATTCCTCAGTCTTGGCCACTACGTTCATTCTCAAACGTTATCATCAAACAAAAACATCCAGATTTAGGACTATTTGAGCCGAATGAATGAATTACATCATCTAATAAGTCAGCGTGTTTGTTTACGCTATGCTGGCGACTGTTTTCGTTCGCGCAGCCATCCATCATCAAGTTTCCAATACGCACCTGAAAAATCGCTTCCGATAAGTCAGCCGAATGCGGAAGGAGTTGTTTGTGGCGCTGCACTCATAACAATGCGATTGGAAATAATGACTTTTTAAAGTTATGTAATAAAACCATTTGTTTCCTAGTCTAGACATGGCGCTTCTTTCAGCCAAGTCAATGACCACAAGATGCCGGTCACCTGAAAGTCGCAAACACCGGCCCATACTTCAATAAAGTTCGCACGAGGCGCCACGGCGACGAGCTCGCAATTTCGGTTATACAACTTTTGTTAGTTTTGCTTACTTCTAACTTGTTTCTTTCTGTACTTCGCGTCATGCTTATTTTTCCTCACGGAAGAAAGAATAAATTTCACGTTTTCTGGAGAATTTTGTTTATTGCCCTGTTATTGTAAGCTCGATTTACCGAAGCTATTGTCCTGCA